AGCAGCACAAATAGCTACAAATCTAATCCAAATCACAAGTAAATTGTAAAACTGCTAAATTTACTTTTGACCATTATGCTATAATTTGAGCTCCGCGTCTTATTAGCAACTTCAATATCAACTTTCGCGATCAAACGGTACAAACTTCGGAAAGTCAAGTTCATTTATGGGCAAGAATGAGCCCAGTCTCGGGATCCATAAGTGCCAGGAAATGGATAAATCGGCCACTGTCTGCCGAAGAATATTGGTACAGATATTGAGATTCGGTAGTAGATAAAAGTGATATAAAGGGTCAGTTTGGGAGGTGTGTAATTAGTCGAAAACCTAAAAATTGAGCTATACAGCCTTTAAATCGTGTATTTCAATTTTTCTTGACAATTAATAAACGCACCAACATTAATCAGGTTATACTACTTGAGTCTACTCACCAAAAGTCTAATTTCCAGAACGTAGTTCCACTAAGCCCAGAAGCTGATCTACTCATTCGGCTATGTGGGAAAACTTGTAAAATTACATTATATTTTTAAGGAAAAGTTAATTAGAAAGAATTTGTAAAAATAGTGTCACCGAAAACCGCCATTACAGACTTCACCAGAACAAGGAAGCACAAATCACAAAGTCACTTTTTTATAAACCCACAATTTGGGTTGCCATCTCCAAAGTTCTCTACTTGCGTGTCTATGCAATGTTCATGTCGTGGGATGAATGAGAGCATAGCACATGTCGATTGGGCTCACAGGACCGGTTCACACATTCCAACAGTCTTCGCGTAACGGCAGGTGTGATTTGCTTTTCGGTGAGACCATTGCACCAATTGCTTTCAACCCACTTTCTCCTCGAAATGAAAAGCAAATTTACAATTTGCTAATTTGTCTAACCGTGACTTGTGTTAATATCTTCGGAGCAAACTTGTCTTTATGTGTTCTTGAAGAAGACGACTTCAAGAGAATCCATTTTTCTCAAAACTGTTCTACAAATGTGACTTTTTCCACCTTCTTGCGAGCTACAAACATGAAGCCATGTTCGATGCTAGAACCGTCGTCATGACGACGTTAGTCTCTCTGATGGATCGGACAATTTGAGTTTCCTGCTACCTTTTGTAAAGTGTGATCAGCAATGCTTGCAGAATCGGGAGCAAGTGCTTTTCTTAACTTATCCACCCTTTGTCTGAAATAGTGCAACTTTACTTACTCACGAGTTGGTCTTGAACTTGTTGAATTTCACTTCATGGCGGGGGACATGCCACTTCAAACTCACGCAAATTCAGGAGGCCTAAAAATGTAATTCATTCCTACGGCTGAGTTGAAATTGTACATTTTTCATGGTCTGTATGAGCTTCTAGACGCGATTGCATTCGATAAGAAGTTATCTCAAAATGCACGTTTCACGTTTCCAATCACCGAGACTGAAGTCTCGGTCATCAGCACCCACAACTGAATTTGAAGCAGGTTAGAATGAATCCTGCAAACATGTTTTGATAAGAGGGAAGACAGTAATTTTAAATAAATCCAGATCTTTTCAACAGGGAGATTTTTACTAAAGTAAACGTATATTTTAGCATTATAATCAACGTTGTTACTTATTTTCGATATAAGTAGTACTCCAAACTGGCATCAATGCTTTAATGCAAAATTAGTCATCCAGATTCACTTATGGCCATTTAATTACAGAGCAAAGAAATTCTTGCACAACTTTTTCATATAATAATACAAATAAATAGCTATTAATTATTATCATTAGAGTAACTGAGTTTCGATTAATCTCCTCAGACTTTTATTTCATATAAAAGTGTATGATGAAGAAATTCGAAGGTCTGTCTCACCAGAAAAGGATGGTTGTATCGCGTTGTACTGCAGCCGTTTGGCTTTGATACACAATCTACGAGACCTCCTGCATCTTTTTAAGGCATCGTCCGTCATTCGATGGACATCATCAGACCCGGGACTCATTCTTGTAAAATTCTCAAATTACCACTAAGACCTTCTTCATGCACTTTCGTATACTTATTTTTTATAAAGGTATTTTTTTTTAATAAGCACAAATGCTTTAAGACGTACTTCTAACCCAAGTTCACTTTTGGCCATTTAAGTACAGAAAGAGCTTAGGCACTATTTCTGACAGTTTATAAAATAATAACCTTCACTGGAAATCTACCTGAAATGTATATGACGTCATTTGCCCACTTTGTGAAAAAAACATGTTAATTCCACAACACGGCTCATTTGGCTGCCAATGCCAAAGTTTGGTAGACCCGTCGTGCTGCGAGAGAGAGAGAAAAGATATTAGAAACATTCAAAAATTACGCAAAGGTCCATAAAGTTTCGCTCTCAGCTTCTTTTTCACTGTCACCTGACTCAAGCCACAACAATGCATCGCTGAGTCATACAGAGCAGATGCGACTTTTGAGGCAAGCCAGGTGCCTCAAAATGGTGGTACAATTTGCTATCGTAATTTATTATACTACTGCGCACATAGTGAGTAGTATATGCAAATTATGTATAATAAATCAACATAATATTGAACAAGCGAAATGACATCTTTTCTCTGGCACAGGAGCACTGAATGGCGGCGAGCTGGATCTTCTAGGATATTTAGAAATATATGCGAATCCAGCGAGCTAAAAGTGTCAGCCGATGCTGAAATTGGTTGATATCGTGAGACGTTTGACTCATTTGACCTTGGGAAACTCAATTGCCCGTCCGTCTATCAGCTTGAACAATCAACAGTAGCGATTTGCAGGCTGGTAACAATTGGTCCGAGTGGTACGTGGACAGAAGTGAAAGCGGGCTCTGGAGGTAGATTGGGCTTTATCTCGTGAAAATGTTCTGCAAATG